ATAGTTTTGTTGTCAAATTGGAAGGTGAATGAAAAATGATAAAAAAATCCAAATTCTTCAGCCCGTGCAAGAATTACGGCCCATGAACTACGACCACTCTTTTCACCAGTGGTTAGCTCTTCAAGACCGTAGCTCTGCCTCTGCAAGTCCTCTTCCGACCGGCTTTTCAGGTACTGTCATAGTAATTAGCTATTAGTCGAGGACCTCACTGAGTTCAAACCGTGCACCCTGTTCCCGCAAAAAGTTCTACAGAAGGTTTTCTGATAAATTTAAAAGGGCTCTTCAATTTTCATCAGCAGATTGTTATTGCTTCCTTTCTGAAGGAGAAGGAGAGTGACTTTTTTATTCTCCCCTACAGATTTGTTGGCACTATATTATTATATAATACACTCATGTCGTCACACGACCACATTACTGGAGTGCGTACAACTGCATTGTACAAAACACAAAAAACAAGTTCGTTGCTTATCACCTCACGCATTGTTTTTATCAATACCTGCCTCTACATTCTTGAAAATATTACCGTTGCGTTCACTTCAGAGCGGACCTCTGCACTTCCGACCTTCATCCACATTCTCATAGCCGATAAGATTCGATCTCTTTTCCAACGGAATATCTCGTCTGCATTACACCACTGATAGGATAGGTCAGTTGCATTGAGTGTCCAGTTGAGTTGGAGAATTGGAGCGGGTGTAACATTATCAGCTTCTTGTACCTCACATCCCATCTTAAGAGCTTCTTTGCACGAAAGGGTCATACGCTGCTTGCCTCATCACCCTGTTTACTGCCTTTCCACATATCACATATTTTTGCTAAACACACTACAAGAATGATAATTTTTTGTGTGCTGGAAAGTTCGGTGTCTGTTGCTGCCTACTCATGTGGAGACTGGACGCTTTCTTCGGTAAAAGCTTTATTAGTGAGAGCCTGCTTTAAAACAAATTAGACATTCAAAAAATAAGCAAGTATTGCTTGGAGTAAAGCTTAGTAATTCTGGAAGAGACACAGAACCTTCATGTCTTGGCTGTTTTCAGTTGTGTACACGCCATTGCATCCGTAGTTCACGCCTTCACCAAGTCCGTGAATCTGGAAAAGTAGTTTTCAAGAACTTAGACATGATACTGTGCTGCTCTACCAAAAAATCAGTCAGTACGCGAGAATTTGAACCAAAATTTCCTTCTTTTTCTTTTTGAAAAAAGAAAGAAGAAGGACAAGCTTTGTTGCTATATCACTGACTTCAGGAACCCACAATTCGTATCACTTCCAGTTTCGGGGGAATCGTACTCTTCTCTGTACATGAATATTAGGTTAACGAAAACCCCTTGGCGCATTTTCTCCCACATCTTGTAAATAAATCTTTCTGAACCGTTCCGAAATACACAGTAAAACGTATGTGAGCACTGGTAAATGCTCTATCCACAGCATTGCCGTCGCAGTGTTTGGAGCCGAGAAAATCATCTCTCACTGGGGTGTGTTCGATTACTCCTACTTTTATATGCACACAAAGTGCTTGCATTGTAGGGATGTAGCAAGAGGCCTATGTGTCGTGGTGGAGCTCCAGTCTATCTTCCACAATGCGGCTACTGTTTGGTTGCCGATGTCAACATATCTGAGATAAAACCACAGATGGCTGGCCTGCACACTAAATGAGGAGTATATTCTGAAGTCGTAAGGGTTCCTGGTGCCATGTATGGGAGCTGCCAGAGCTTTTTTAGTGTTATGAGAGCACAGTGGCCGTTCCTCAATATCTCCTCAAAAAGAAGAGAAATTATGGCAAAACGAGATTTCGTGGTCTGGGTGACAACCGCCTTCAGATGCCTTCAGATTTTGCATGAACATTTTGATTTAGCGCCTGTCTCTCATTTGACCCGATACTTTGTTGGTGGTAACAAGAAGTGGGATCGTCACGTAAACCACACGCGAAAGCACGACTGGCTCGGACGCGTAGAACAAAGGATTGCAACGCCGATTCGAGAACTGCAACCTGGGAGGCAACATTGAAAGCTCATGAGGCTGCAAATGTTTCGCTCACGGAGAGCTGCTGCCAACGAAGTCCACTGCTATTGGTGAACAATAATGTTAGCAAGTGGATTGGTTTCCCGGCATGGTGCCCGGAAAATCGGAGAAACTTTACTTTATGTCGGCAACGCTCGCCCACGAATTACGAAGAAGGTTCAGGAAAAGTCTCCAAGCTCGTTATGGGATGATCTGACCCACTTAGTGTGTTCAGCAAACCTGGTAGAGACAGCTACCATACGCCTCTGTTGCCGTCGAAGGTACTGAAATAGGGGCAGTTCGATGATCCGGACCTACTCGGAGTCAACCTCTTTCGAGCTTTTCGCCCCAAAGACTCAGATTTCTGAAGCCATCGGCAACCTGAAGTTACCTGCTGAAAGCAATGTTCCGATGATTGTTGTGGTGTATGCATTTGACAGCTGTTGACCGTACTATAGCAGAAAAATTGTATTGAAAAAATTGTTGACAACTGCGCAAAGACTTTTTCGGCAGCCTAATATAAACACGGCACCTTATTTCGGTCAAGTCGACAGAGGACACTTTGAGGGGAATTAGGTCAGAACTTCAGGTGGTAGAATTTGGCTAAATAATAAAGGAGTGAGGAAGCAACCACCAGTTCTGATCAACCGCCTTTTCGGGTGTGCCGCGGACTGTCTTTATATGAAATTGCAATGGCATGTGAATGCGATTCGGAACAAAATGGTTGGTATAATTTAACTATATCAAACAAATAATATTAATAGGATAAGGATAAAGGATAAAGCATTTGCCGTTGATCAATCCCTTTTGGGATGCGGCACGCATTCTACTTCCATTTGTACATTCGTAGTGGCGTTTGAATGCGATGTGGCCTATACAATGACTTGCGGGGGCCAGCCGATGTACAAGTCAGTGTTTTTATCCTCCCAGACAAGTCTGGTACCAATTAACCGACCCCGGAGGGATGGAAGGCTTGGTTGGCCCGGGCGACTCACGACCCAGGATTTGATCCCCGGACCGCTCGCGTGGTGCCACTTGCCACTACACCACTTCCGCCCAGGTGGACACCCGTGTAACTCCGCTACTGTCGGCTTAATAATATTATTGATGTGACTTATTGACAGAGGGTCAGTGTTTTAATCCCACGTCATTATTTAGTGCTAGCGAATTTCTTAGAGAAATTTGTGGCATTTATCTGTAAATAAATGTCCCGAGCGCCAGTAATGAAGCTCTTAATATTGGTCGGAACCATCATGCACCAACGGAGTTGAAGTTTCAGCAAAAGCGTTATGGTTTTTCTTCCAATTGTAAGACTGGAACACTTGAATAGTGCCATGTCTACACACTGCATTCGAGGCTCGCAACAAATTCTCGACGCGATGTCTTACACGCATTTTTTCTTGTCCTACTTACCCTTATGAATGCTGCTCAGTACCCTGTCACCTCCAAAGAACAACTCACTACCAGTACTGGAACTGGAGTTTGAAGCCATTTTTTCCACTTTGCAGTGGTTTTTGCTTTGTGAGAAGGTTTGTAGCCCACCTTTCTCCAGAATTTGACCATCTTAAAAAGGGTGTAACGCGTTTTTTTCCGGAATTGAAAATGGCTTTTCTTTATCCTCGAAGGTCCTAAACGAACACTCTCACTTTGTGAAAGACTGAGCGAGCCATTACGCAAACGAACCTTTCAGCGCCAAAGTGTATGTAAGGTGCCCCGGGTCTCAGTACACTTCCTGGTCTTTCTAATTCTCGCAAAGCCTGGCTCGACATGGCATCATTCCATATCTGAATGCAAAAGTATGCTTGAGATAAATAACAGATATATCTTTATCTACGGTTTCATTCAGTTCACGTTAAAAATATGAGCTTTGAAGCGTCCGCAGCCAGCAAATTGTTTTTAGGATGCCTGGCGCATTCTTCTTGAGCTCAAAATCGTTGTGAGACCCAACCAGGCTGAGAAATGAGCTGCACGAGCCGGTTATCATTCATGTCAGGGCACTATCGTCAATGACGACCTTGCATCACTTGACCGTTTTCCAAAGATAAAAGACCTGGGATGACATGTTTAAGATTAAGTTCGACATCTGATCGACAGTCTATGCGAAAGTCATTTTTCTTTACACTGATTTTCTGCTATGAAGGAGATAGACTGACCAGGCCTGGGTTAGCCTTGAGCAAGAACTGTTCATATACTTCCCGCACAGGAGGGCCGAGATTGCACTCCTGAAATGAAACAGAATTACAGTTCCTCACAACCATCGAATAGACGTTCTCAAATAGCTTTGGGAAAGGCATAATTAGTACAGAAAACTTTGAGGATTGTAGCAACACGACAAATAGGCTTATACATAGACATTCACAAGGAGCGAAGGCAGGGCAGCAACAGCGAACAGCATCTCAGTAGTGACAAATTTTTCTCATCGTTCATTCTTTGTACGGGGCAGATCAGGCCTCTTCATTCAAATCCGCATTTATTATTTTCAATTATAGTATAGGTTTGGAGTGTTGTGTTAGGTGTTCAAGAACAGCTTCCTTCATTGGGGTTTTTCATAGTATCATGGACCTCGGTGTTGCCTTTTTAGGACCTCCTTTTCACAGATGACGAAACCGGGCATTTTTTCGTAGTTATCCTCCTTTTTCCAAAATATTTGATGACTTGTAGGTAGTGTCTGTCATGCGGTTACACCCCCAAACTTGTTCGCTATTGCGCTCGAGAACATCATGAGGCGAATCTCGTTGCCCGGAGGAGTGAACATCGACGGCGTTCGCTTAACGCATCTCCTCTTCGCTGATGACTGTGTTCTGATAGGCGAGGACCCCGCCGACATTGCGCAATCCCTGAGCCTCATCAGGCAGGAAGCCGGCAAAATCGGACTACAAATTCATCCCGGCAAGACTCAGTGGATGCACAACGAACAAGTTCAGTAACAAATAAAATTTTGTGAAGGCCGAAAGGTGTTCATAGTCTCTTGATCAGAACAACACTTATGGCCATAGTATAGCATGATCAATTTTTTGTCAACCTCGCTCCCATCCCGACGCATTTGCTTGTGCAGTATTTGACTATGCCAAGAGATAGCGAATCTCCCCGTTGTTTTTACTAATACACTGGTCCCCCACTGGATTCTCAAATATGCACGTTAATTTAGAGTAAATTTCGCTGCCCTTTTCCTACGATTCTTTTGCAGAACGCGTTTCCTCCCTATGTCTTCGTACTAATCACCACGAACCAAATCAGTAAGCACCCTCCATTTAAATTTTGATTCTATGTATATAGATGTAAGATATCATTTGCATTCAAACGCCACTACGAATGTACAAATGGAAGAAGAATGCGTGCTTCATCTTAGAAAGGGATTGATTAACGGCAAATGCTTTCTGCTTCAATACACTTGTGAAACTAATGATGACAGCAAATAAGTGGCAGCAGCACCGTTGTGTCCGTTGATGAACCTTTTGATTACGACCCCCTCCCAACTCTCATCGGAGCAAATACGACCCCCTGTCGAGGATTTCCTCGACCGTTATTCACCCTGCCGTCCCGTGAGCGGCATCGCTACCACTGCACTGAGGAGCCCTTCTTATCGACGGTGAAAGGGTTGTAGAGAAAAGGAATAGCCTACGAAGGTTGCAAACCTTTAGACTTATCGTAGTATTGATCCCGCGACTGATCCAACACCAACGTAGACCGCAGGCGCTACACCATTGACGAATCAATGCAAGGTGCTTCCTTTCCCTTTCCAACACCGTGACCCACCCACCTGGAAGTTTGAATGTAGCTATCTCTAAAAAGTCCTCCGGATAACATTTTAGAGATGGCCAAACCAGAGTGGCAACACGCGCACTTTTCCTTTTATCTTTACTGCCATCCTTGTTAGTTTTCGGATGCACGCTGCTAATCCTCTTACTGCCACATGATGTGGTCATCCGAAATTCCGAGGAACAGGATGTATACCACTAGATGTGCCCTTGATCGGTGATCTGAAATCTACCTACCAAATCTGCTAAACGATTCTCTGATGATCCTACGACGTTTTGACTGCAAATCCCGACCACTACCGTTGCGCTGTTTTGCTTCATAACTCCCTTCAGAGAATCGTTTAGCAGATTTGGAAGGTAGATTTGAGATCAGCGTTCAAAGGCAGTATACATCTCTTCTTGAATGGCCATGGCGACCTGGGAGCCTTTCCTTGAGATCGAACTCACTTCGACTATTCTAA